AATTATTTAAAATAGGAAAAGAGATTTACTTCAAACAAATAAAGACTATAAGAAATTCAACCAAAAGCAAGAGAAATTTTTAGTATCCTTAAGAAAAAATATAAGAGGCGAAAAGATATAGAAATCTAGGCAAAATAAAAGTAAGCTTATGCAATAATGCACTGTATTACCAATTACTTAACCTCAGGGGGATACTCCAGTTCCACATGATGATTCACTTCAATCATCTCTTCCTAAATAGCTCTCCTATAGTCATAAATTTAGTTAGAACTTTAATTGACCCATCTAAGATTTTATAAATGACCTTCAAAAAGTACCCTAGGATCAGCTAACAATTGAGAGTAGAGAAAAATTTGTAAAGTTAATGATAACTACATAGTCTTTGAAGATAGAAAGGACTGATGATGAGTATATATTCCAAAATTTAATATTGAATGAAAATGAAGTATTTAAGATACTAGGAGGCAATGCATTGCAAAAGCTTATAATCCAGGATTTGATTCCCAAAACTATACTTTGTGAAAATAAATTTCTTGATTTAGTTCTGCTTCATTTACAGGAGAACTATAGCATTTTTGTGAGATATATGTATGCTTTAGTTCTTCAATCGATATTGGAGATTCATAGAAATGACAAAAAATTTATATTCTCAATATTTAGCCAGCAAGTTCTTGATAAGCTGCTATTTTATGTCAAAGATATAACTGCTAATGGACTCAATGATGATAAAAATGAATTTTTGATAGTTATTTTGTGGATCTTAAACGATATTTCTTGTTTACATACCAAGTTTGCTGATTACTTAGTCTCTTCTAAGCTAATTGAATACAGCTTCAAAATAATTGAGGATTCATTATCAGATTCTATGGACTCACATGAGCTCGTGATTGCCGTCTCCTAGACATTTACAAGTCTGATTTCTTGCGCAAATAATATAAAAAAATCTCAGTAAAAAGACCTAGTCAAATTTATAATGAGCTAAATCATAGATTTTTATGGTGCAAATCAACTATTAAGCAGCATCGATGAAAGTATTACCGAGCATAAAGATAGTTTAGACTATGTATTAAACTTGATAAATAGTATCAATAAACTACTATCCTAAAATAATGACAAAATATATAATACCATGATGAATAACTAATACAGTGAGAAGTTCTTGATGACTGTGATTTAAATTTGGAAGGCTAAGTCATTCTAGTTGAGACTTATCTCAGATTCAACTCTATAAGAGGATTACCACTATTCAGAGATGCTTCAAATAAGCGAGTTCTTCTATTAAATTCTTCAATTTTAAGATGAGTATATCATCGAGAGGGTCTTTGGCTTTAGAATAGTGCAGACCATGCAAGTAGTATTAGAAAATATGTATAGAAGCTAGAACTCTCGATTCACAGACGCATTGCTTTCCAATCTGCTGAAATGTGTGTGCAACATTTTATCGACCCATGAAGTTGATAAAGTATGTGACTACCTTTTGAAGCAAAGCTCGCTGCTAAAGGACATTTTTCTGATCGTGATGCAAGACAAATGGAAACTAGGTCGAGAACTCCTGGATATGATATCTCAGATAATTTAGAATCTGACATTCGTGTCTGATGTTTGGTGCATCTAAGACTTGTTCGATAAGTACATCATACACGCTTCTCTGTTTATAATGAGAATGGCCATGGACCTGGATGAGATTCAGATAATCTAGGTTAACTTGATGAGCTTAATTAGTTTTTCTCAAGGTGATATGGATATAGACTCTCAGTTTATTCATTAGTACTTCTATCAGAATTATCAGTTGAGAGACCTGTTTAATCAAATAGCCTAGGATTTCATCTTCGAGGACACAAAGGAAAGTTTCTTTGAGTTCCTAGAATCTATTGGCAGCAAGTATGATGATGACCTAGAATTAATGGAAAATGTGGATAAACTTATAAATTATGTCTTCAAGGTAGATAGTGATGAGGATGAGCTTGACGTCGATAATAAATGTGGAGAGGCAGAAATGACTTTGAATCAGCAGGTAAAGATGATACTAGCCTTAGAACGGCCTGTAACTCTTGAGGATGTAATATAGCCAGATATAAATACTAATAGCATGATAATTGATGAAAGAAATCAAGCAATGATCAGTATCAATAAATAGCAATAAC